CTGGTATGTATGTATGTATGTATGTATGTATGTATGTATGTATGTATGTATGTATGTATGTATAATAAAGAAGCCAGACTGGAAAAACCTATTCACCTGCCTGATAACCATTAACACAAACCTTGCTTTTCATTCAACCTTACTCCCAGAAGGAGCTACACAAGGTTCTCCTTCATAAAAGACTTCAGAGCATGAAGAAGAGATGCACATTAGCTTTCCATTTATTTGACACGACATGAAGGAGAAACCTGACTTATCATACTTGTGGGAAGATACATCAAGTGGGATTCTACTTCCTCTTTCATAGAATATTTAGAAGGACGTCACCCAAATCAATGTTCCTTTGGCCCTTACTGACGTTCACTGAAATTTTCGTTCTTTGAATGGCAATTTTTTTCTCCTTTCTTCCTTACTGTTTTTTTTCCCCCACGCAGCTGAAAAGCAAGAAGAATAGGGCCCTTCAGAATGACTATTTCAATATGACGTCCTGGCAATCAAATGGACCCAGGAAAAGGCCGCCTCGGCATGGTGCTCCAGCACGGAACTATACGGCATACCGTTATTGGGAACCCTGATGAGTAATGTCTTCTCTACAATGGAAATAAGAACAGCCTAGTCAGAGCAGAATGTGACTGTTTTCAAAGAGTTGTATCATGTTGTTCATAGATATACAAAGGACAAAAGCTCTCTGTAAGTTATGTTTCAAGCTGATAGGAAATAGGTTATTACTAACAGTAGACTGGAAACAGAGGGATGATAGACCCACCCACCCCTCCAGTTTTAAGCAAATGATGGTTCCAATTGCATTTGTGAACTTTCCACTTTGGCCTTAACAGAAGGTTTAAAGGATTATATCCAAATTCTGGCAAAGAGTGGAGGTAAAAACCTGTCATATTTTATATCAAGGAGAAAATGCTGAATGTAGGGTTTAAACATATGCTTAAGAAATAAGAAGCATCCAGCTCGGTGGGACTGGTGCAATAAAGAACATTTTTTCTGTTATAATATGAATTAGCTGGAAAGGTTTGCAATCCTCTGCAGAACAGTCCCAATGAACAGATGACACTTTCTGCTAAAACAATCAACCCGAAAATCATGTCTGGAAGACTTGAAGGAATAGTGGAAAACTATTTGCAGTGATATATAGTTTTCCACGGATACATAAAGAAGATGCTGACAAAGAATTGGGCAAAGAGTAATGAAGGGAAAGCTTAAGTAATATATTACTATCCAAATAGTTCTAGTTCCCACTGTAAGAAGGGAGTATTTTTCTTTCTTGATATCAGATATCAATTGAATACCAAAATGCTGGTATGCACAGGGTTCTATGCTTATAGCTAAAATGAAAAGAGTTCTTGCTTCGTTGGTTTCCATTTCCTATGTTAATTAAATGGGTTCAACATAGGTTCAAACCCATACTCAACGCCTGGATAGCTTTGTGTGAGTGTCAGCCCAATCGTCTTACAGAGTTGTTGTAGTAGGAGTCACACTTTTTGCACGCCTCTGAGCAGATGGGATCATCGTATTTTGATCATTCAAGCAGAAATGGCACCCTGTAAACATTTAATACATTACAGACCTGTGGATGTGTAAATCCTCCTTCCTGTTATAAGCCAGCAATAAAATACCGTGACCCGTCAAAAGCGCGTTCCACAAAAGCGCGGTCGACGAAATCGCGTATGTGACGTCATCACAGTGCGACGAAAAAG